TTCAGGCCCCACGACCGGACCCCCAAAAAAAAAAAAAAAGCATTAACTTTATCTCAAGTAGCCTACATAAAGTCAAGTAGGAAGCAATTATATGCCAGATTAAGAGTTAAGGAGAAGGGATAGTAAAGTTTATCTATCACAAAGAAATTCACCAAGTAGGACCAATACAATCAACAACAAGTAATTGAAAGTAAAATGAGCCATGAAAAGACTACTTACAGATCAGTAGAGAAATATATTTTTTATAAAACAAGATGCTGCTTCAATTCTTTGGTTTTCTACTATACACTAAACTAATTTTTAGGCTTCTGTAGATACCTGGTATATGTAAATGAATAAACTCAAATGGATTATGGATTCCATAAGTATTAAGACAAATTAATTACAAATGAAACCTGGTCTTTAAAAAGTGAACTCCTGAGCTGGGCGCTGGTGGCTCACACCTGTAATCCTAGCTACTCAGGAGGCTGAGATCTGAGGATTACATTTCAAAGCCAGCCGGGGCAGAAAAGTCCATGAGACTTAGCTCCAATAAACCACCAGAAAACCTGAAGTGGCACTGTGGCTTAAGTGGTACAGCGCTATTCTTGAGCTGAAGAGCTGAGGGACAATGCCCAGGCCCAGAGTACAAGACCCATGACTGACCAAAAAGAAAAAAAAAAGTGAACTCTTGGGCTAGGAAGTTGGCTAGGAGGTAGAGTGCTTGCCTCGCATGAGACCCAGGGTTCAATTCCTCAACATCATATAAGCAGAAAAAAGCTAGAAGTGGCGCTGTGGATCAAGTGGTAGGGTGCTAGCCTTGAGCTGAAGAGCTGAGGGACAGTGCCCAGGCCCAGAGTTCAGGCCCCACAACAGACAAAAATACTGTAACAAACAATAGAGGGACTAAAAGTAAAACAAAAACAAACAAAAAAAAAAAAACAAAAGAACTATAGAGCTACAGAAAGGGAAACACAAAGAATCTAGGGCTAGAATGCCTAGAAGCAAATCCCAGCTCTAGCACATACCAGTTAATTAACTTTTGGCATGCTAACATGTACTTTATTGGAGATCTCTTGTGAAGCTCTGGTGAGCTATTATGTATAAAGTGCTTAAAATAGAGCCTGGTAAATAATGTGCACTGTGCAGTAAATATATCCTTTGTAGGAAACATCATTTTCTACATAAATGACCCAATAGACTCAAGAAATATAAGCAAGAATTCAATAGAATGCTAAATCTATATAATTCAGAGAAAATGTAAATTTTTGGATTTTTCTTCGTATGGAATTTTTAAGGATAACTTAGAGAAAATTATGAAAAACATCCTTTTTTCTTCTCCTACCCACTGCCCCAAATTATAAGCTTCTAGCTTAAACAATGATCAACTAACTCCTGACCAATCTTGCTTAATTCCCACCCACAGATTCTTCTGTTCTCTGGATAATAAAAAAACAGATCTGAAACATATCCTTGTATTCATCAACAGATGTTGAAATATATGTTTGAAATATATATCTTTGAAAATATAACTAAGTATTATTATCATACCTAAAATTAATAACAGCTGGTCATTACAAATATCCAGAGTTCAAATTTCCCTGATGTCTTATTTACTAAATTCTGAACCAAATGAAGTCCAAATACTACTATTAGCCTAGTTTCTTCTTGTTGTTATGCTTTTTCCCTCTCTATAATTTATTTGTTGAAAAAAAATCAAGCCATATGTCCCAATAGCATTTTGCTGATAATATCCTCTGATATTCATGCTATCTCGTCTTCTATATTTTATTCCAACTGGTAGTTAAAGGTAGAGGTTTCATCACATTCAGATTCAGATTTAATTTTCTGGCAAGAGTATTTCAAGGTAATGTTGGAAACTTTTATTAACAGAACTCTAATATCTGATTGTTTGCCTTCTGTAAAGCTAGCAGTCACTTGATGATCTTTGCTTAGGTTCAGGCATTCATTGTAAAGTAAAGATGTTCTGCTCTATCACTCTCTGTCCATTTATTAACTAGAATGTTTCTGAGAAAAGAAATTTCATCTCAATTGCCATTTGGCTACTGTGAAGTATAGCTGATTCCTAAGAATAAGCCGAAGAAAACAAGTAAGGTATTTAGAGTATCATGATTAGACCATATTTAAAGATATTTGATGTGATTCATTATATTGCAGTTATGGCTGCTGAGGCTCACACTGTCTCATCTTTGATCTTCAGAAACTATTCACTTATGCATCTGAGTTATTCTGCTAAAATGCTGTAGTGTTTAACAATTTCACTGAAAGGTATTTTAAGTCCACAGATTTGGAATCAGGTTGAGTTATTAACTGTTTAGCTATTTCTTTCTTATTCATGGTTTTAAAATGTTATGAATTATGTTACAAATCAGCTGCAGCCTACAGTTTGGATATTACAGTAGATATGAAACTTACATTTTACAGTAAGACTTTTTCAATGAACTCTACTTTCCCCATTTCATTGAACACTTTTTTAAAAAGTATATTTACTAAACACTGGTTGCTAATCTTAGCTACTCAGGAAGCTCAGATCTGAGGATCACAGTTCAAAGCCAGCCTGGGCAGGAAAGTCTGTGAGAATCTTATACCTTTTTAGCCACCAGAAAACCAGAAGTGGAGCTATGGCTCAAATGGCAGAATGCTAGCCTTGAGCAAAAGAGCTCAGAGACAGCATCCAGGCCCTGAGTTCAAGCCCCAAAATGCTTGCACACACACACACACTCCCTCCCCCCTCCTTTCACACACACACACACATACACACACACACACACACCATTCTGCCAGGTGCAAGTGGCTTATGCTACTCAGGAGGCTGAGATCTGAGGATCAATGTTCCATCCTAGTCAGAGGGCAGTAAAGTCCTTGAGACTCTTATATCCAATTAACCACCAAAACACCAAAAATGGAGCTGTGGCTCAAGTGGTAGAGTGCTACTCTTAAGCTAAAAACTCAGGGACAGCACTCAGGCTCCAAATTCAAGCTCCAAAACAGGTATGTAGACACATGTGTGTGCACGTTCACAGATGGACACATACACATACAAACACACACACACACACACCATACTATATTTAAAGCTGAAAGTTAAATGCTTCATTTTGAGAGGTTAGAACAGAAAAGATTCTTAATCTACTCTGTTTGCTTTTGGTTCTGGAAGGTATTTCTTCATGTTATATTACAAAATTTGGATATAATTCTAAACATTCATGATTAAAAACTAGTCACTGTTTTTCCTTTGATAAATTAATAAAATTCCAAAGTATGGGGAAATGGTCAAACTCTTAAGAAACTTATACAAAATATATTATAATATATCATATACATAATTTATATAATCAGACAATACAAAACCTTCATATCTTATCCTTAACATTAAAACTCATGAGATAGCCAGGCCCTGATGGCTTATACCTCCAATCCTAGCTACTCAGGAAGCTAAGATATGAAGATTGTGGTTCAAAACCAGCCTGGGCAGAAAAGTCCCCATGAGATTCTTAATCTCCAATTAACTACTCAAAAACCAGAGGTTTGAGTATTAGCCTTGAGCAAAAGAGCTCAGGGAAGGCTGGGAAGGTGGCTCAGTGGTAGAGTGCTTGCCTTGCATCCATGAGGCCCTGGGTTCGATTCCTCAGCACCACGTAAGCAAAAAAAGCTGGAAGTGGTGCTGTGGCTCAAGTGGTAGAGCACTAGCCTTGAGCTGAAGAGCTGAGGGGCAGTGCTCAGACCCAGAGTTCAGGCATCGTGACTGGAAAAAAAAAAAAGAGCTCAGGGACAGCCCCCAGGCCCTGAGTTCAAGCCCCACAATCAATAAAAAAGAAAAAAAGAAAAAAAACTCATAAAATAGTGAACTGAAATAATAAGTTCAAACTATTTAAAATACCAAGTTATGGGGCTGGGAAGGTGGCTCAGTGGTAGAGTGCTTGCCTCGCATGTATAAGGCCCTGAGTTTGATTCCTCAGCACCACATAAGCAGAAAATGCCAGAAGTGGCACTGTGGCTCAAGTAGTAAAGCGCTATGAGCTGAAAAGCTGAGGGACAGTGCCCAGGTCCAGAGTTCAGGCCCCATGACCAACTAAATTAATTAATTAATAATTAAAGTACCAAGTTATATCTCTTAGAATACTAGAAAAGGCTTTATTAGTAGTAAGGTAATGCTTATCTCATCTTACAAACACCATCAATCAGAAACTAGTTAACAAACACATAAGCACTTTCCACCTATAAAGGCAGAATATTCTGTAAAAAAAAAAAAAAAAAAAGTTGAATGCTACAGTTGCTGACCATTTCCTCTCAAAACTCTGAAAAGATGTTAATTTAGTGGCCAAAAGTTACTTTCACTGAGTAAAAAGTTGCTTTTTACTATTTTGTCATAATCATAAATCACATGATTGTGTACGCTTTTCCCTGAAATAAAGCAGGATATGAAATGATATCCTCATTCAATTTTTCTCAAAAAAACAAACAAGTAACCACCATGACACAACAACAGAAGAAAATAAAAACTAAAAGACTCTTCTGCTGTGGTGATTCTTGGGTGATAAGCAGTAACACACCTATGTGAAGAGCTGGTCTGTTCTCTGTACATCAGCGCTTTCCTCTTACTGAAAAACAAAATATCCACTAGCATATGCGTGACAGTAATTGCTTTTCCAGATGGTATGCCTTTGATAAGAGACTTTTTTTGCCAAAAGCTCATTTCACTTTCTCTCTAAGAATAATATTTGTCATTAACTTTAAAACTAGTTTTACAAGCTTCTCAGTAGTAGTGTCAATTGACCTATTTTTTTGTTTTTGTTTTGCTATCAGAATGAAACCTCTGCATGATAATTTATTACCTTATAATTTTTCTGAGAGGGTAAGGAGTTCTTATGAACTCTTCTCTAAAAGCTAACCACTCTAAGATATAAAAACTTTTAAGCATATAAAACTTATATAGAGAGACCAACATTATAAAATCACTACACATGCATCAAATCAGAGTAAAATTGTTCCTCAAATACCTTAAAAGTAGAAATTCTAAATGTTGGTGCCTTCATTTGGAAGCAAAATTTCCTACTGCATGATCTTGTCTGATGGTAGTTGACTTTATCATCTGTCAGTTCCAGTTACATTTCCATTAGTATAGGCAGATCTAAAGTAGAAGGAAGACAATTAGACCATTGAAATTATTTTAAATGCTATGATTTCAGTTTCTCTGTAAGCATATAAAATTGTTTTAACTGCTTAAGCAATACCAATTCCTAGTCTTATGACTGAATTAAAGTTATAATAAATATATAGATCTGAAGGGATATTAACTTTAAGAGAGAGAGAAAGAATGAGAAGTTCAGATCTCCAAAAGAAGTACAAAGCAAACTGGGTTTACATTCATATTCCAGAAGCATGGGGCCCATAACTATCAACTCATTCATCAGAGTAGCTGAACTCACCCCTACAGCAGTACCCAGTTAAACGGTAAAATGCAGCAAGAGGAAACAGGATTCCTAACAACAAGTAACTCTGAAATAAAAGAACACCCAATGTCACAGCTAGTGTTCATATCTGAACTACTGTCATGGCTATTACAAATTAAATTAATGATAATGCTTTATGTTCCTACTCTGCCTCAAAACTACCACCAAACAATTTTACAAAACAAGGTCTTCTGAAGAAATCTGAACCCTAATGAGGTATGGGTGACTCATGCCTGTAATCCTAGCTTCTCAGAAGACTGAGCTCCAGAGGGTGGCAATTTGAGGCCAGCTCAAGCAGGAAAGTTCACTAGGCTTCATCTCCAAAAACTATCAAAAAGCAGGGCAGGAAGTTTGGCTCAAGTGGTAGTGTGCTAGCTGAATAAGAAAAGCAAGAATATGCAAGGCCTTGAGTTTAGTTAAGTACCACCTCTCCTATCCCACCCCCTCCCCCAAGGAGTCCTAATGGCTTTACTACTCGGGGTTAAACGTTTTACTAACATTTCCTTAAATTACAAGACAGACCATCATTAAATATAAATAACTTGGTATGCTATTCCATTCATGCTATTCTATCCTATACTTGGTATTTTGGGGCTTTATTTAAAATGCCAACCAGGGGTTGGTGGCATGGCTCAGGTGGTAGAGTGCCAGCATCAGATACCATGTTAGAGTCTGCTCTTGGAGAAAAAAAAAAATGCCAACAGTTCTGTATAACTACCCTCTCTCCTATTTTCATTCCAACAATGCTCTTTGCTTTCTTACACACCGCTACTGTCCTTCACCCAATCTTTCCCACATAACATCTGGAAATCCCTTGTATTTTGTAAAACTTCCGTATCTTCAATCTCTCATCACCAACCAGTCTTTCAAACACTGGACTGACTAACCTCAAAAGACCCTCTAGAGGACTATGGGTGTGACTCAAGTGTTACACTAGGCAGCTGCCTAGCAAGTGCAGGGCCCAGAGGTGAAGAGGAGGGGCAGAGGGAGGGGAAAGAGGGAAGTATTCTAGAACGAGGTTAAGGCAATAGGTAACACTCTCCAAAGTGATACTTTCAAATCCTTGCTCCAACAAGCAATCCTTTCCTTCCCTCAGTTTTCCGAAGTACTGTCCTACCCTCTTCTGTCTTTTACTATCAACCTGCTCCAGACTGAATCCTCAGACTGGCTCTACGTGCTCTTCTACCACTCCAGTTGCTGAGTTGTCAAATCTTGTTTGTAGCTAGGTTCTAATGGCCCATGCCTGTAACCCTAGCTACTCAAGAGGCTGAGATCTCAGGATCACAGTTTGAAGCCCAGGAAGGAAAATATTTATCTCCAATAAACTATTCAGAAAAAGTGAAGTGATGGAAGTGATGCTGTGGCTCAAGTGGTGTAGCACTAGCCTTGAGCACAAAGAAGCTCAGAGACAGCATCAAGTGTAGATTTCTGGCCCCAGGACCAGCAAAACAAAAACAAAAACAAAACATGGCCTTGGTTAACTCCCAAATCATCAATACAGCTAGGGTCTTATTTTCTTCCTTCCACTTTACCCCCTTCAAACTCCTAGCCTTATGTTAATCCTACTAGAGAAAAGTTGTACTGTAATAATACTGATCTTCAAAAATCACCTTGCAGGGGCTGGGAAGGTGGCTCAGTGGTAGAGCGCTTGCCTTGCATGCCTGAGGCCCTGGGTT